ATTCATCGCCCTGATGACGGAGGCAGTATGACCTCTGAAACGTTGGTTAACATCGACCAGACTACACAGCGCAATAACCCAGAAGACAGAAATCTTCATATTCACCGCTGTGAGAACCTCAAGTCTTACACAGTACTGGGGTCCTTTCCCGCGGATAAAACCGGCCGGGGCGTGATGCTGGCACTCACCCCCATCTAGTGCCGAGGTCAAGGAAGAGAGGAGCTATACCTCCTCTCACCCCAAGCGCCTACATGGCGTATAGTGGGACAAACTTTACTTTACTTTACGACAAAAATTGATTGCAATTGAATAACATAGTAAACAATTAGAGATTTGAGTGTTTAAGATGACATGGCATATTTAGCAGCCGAGAATATTGATGAAACATTTAGAACCCTTAAGATTCTTGCAGAATGTATGTGTACCACCTGATTTCACGATTAATAACCCTTCATTGTGTATATGTGGGTAAACAGCGATCATTTTCTTAAACGGGATTAACCGATTGATCTTTGAATGATGAAGTGTAGTGTTTTCTTCGCGGTACGGACTGAATTCTTAAATAATATTTAGACGATCTTCGGCTTCAGATACGGGGCACATATTGAGAAATAGAATTCGAAAACTTTACATTTCTTGATACATGAACTTTGTTAAAGCTTCTATATATCTCTCTCTATATATCCATTTATCTATCAATCTATCTATTCATCCATCCATCCATTTGTAGCTTAACCCAATAGTGGGTCATTGCCACGTCCTTTCCGATGTTTGCTAGATTTTAAGGCGTGCATTCATGAGTAGTTTTTTTACACGCCCACTGAAAGGCATTTGTGGATTTGGTTTATGTATGCAGTGGAATTGTCAATATGTTTTTTACTGAAGAAACAATAAATGTTACGTCATAGTTTTGGCCAAAATTGTTACTTTTTATTGGTATTTATTGACGTCAACAATCGCCTTTCGTTGCTGTGGAAACAAATAGGCTGGGATTCGCTTGTGGAAAAAGTGCGTCGTACACAAGATACTTTTTTACAATTGAAGACCTTTGAAAATAATCCAATATACAAGTTTCATTCGAATTTTTAAGATTTTTAGTTATCATCGGTTATTCTTGAGAAATAATCTGTGGATACATTGTAAAAAATATATACGACTATGGCCACCAGATGACAGCACATCAGTCGCCTTCAACTCGTATTGTTGGTCTTGCCCATTGTTGATAATGCGACTCGTTGCTAGGCATAATAAATAAACGACAAATATTTGTTTTGTTGCAGTCAGAAGAACCATAAACGTGCAAAGTCTAGATTAATAGAAAAATGACTTCGAGTACAACGAATTATAATGTGAGAGAACAAGAACCTGCAGCTGAAGACATTCCAATTCACGGTATGGAGCGTGATCCTTAACTTTGTGTATTATCGTAACTAATTTCAGGGCTGTGGAGTCGGAGTCGGAGTCGGTAAAAAGGAACCGGCTCCGACTCCGACTCCGACCTCGATATAAAATCTTAAGAAAACTTTCGGTGCCATTTGAGACGCCGGCGGCCTCAAACTTAGTAAGATTCAACGACGCGTTAAGACACGTGGTGTGGGAATAATGCTTTGTAACTTTGGCTCGTGTACCGTAAGAATACAAACTGTCTAGAAATCAACCGATTTCTGCAAAAATCATTAGACGTATATTTAAATGTAAGACTTAAATCTAATAAGTAGCCTGATGATTCACGAGGTGGTGATGAAATCTCTTATGGTACATTTTACCATTTTAGTAGGTTTACCCTTACTAACAAATATTTAGCTTTTATGAAGGAGTCGGAGGGTGTAGTTCTGACTCCACAGCGCTGATTAACATTGTACCTCAAGAACATACGTTTTTCTAATACTAAATGCCAAAAACAATTGAAATCAAGGCATGTCTTATGAATTTTTTATCCATTACAGTACATAAGTCCCGATAAATACGACTATAAGAATTCTCAGTACTGATATAAAGTTCTTTGTGTTTTAGGAAT